ACATTTATAATACATCTAAATGTTTCACAGATGTGGAACCACATACTACTGAAAAAGATTCGCCCAGGAAACAAAGTACCGAAAATCTGACGCCACACATTACGCACAAGTTAAACAGTACTACATCAACAAGATCATTTATATCCACATCTTCAAAATTGCCACAAAGTTCAGCATCATATTTAGTATCAACACTAACTTCCACCTCAGTATCAACATCTTATTCAACCTCAATAACCGACATCTTTTTCAACGACGCCAGTGTCTTCAAAAATCAAATTCATCGCCGATTTCTACTTCTCTTAAACTTTCAAACGCACCAATGTCTTCACAAACATCTTTATCTACTTCAACAATGCGTTCACCAACATCAAATGATTTTACATCAAGCACAATGCCTTACATCTCATATTCGGATGAATCTTCAACAATGTTCGTCTGCTAATAAGACGTCGACTCAAAATCCAGGTTTAGGAGGTAAATCTAGTCAAAAACCTTGATTTGTTGATATGACAACTTTTGTCAATTTAAATACAAAACCTTCAATTTAGTTTAAAAAAGTTTGCTGCGCGTGAAAATTTATGTTATCAAACACTATTTATTTTTTATTTTTTTTTATTTATCATTTGGTATATCTCTAAAAAATAATATTTGTATCTTTTTTCTTGATAACAATAACCGTGTCAATGAATAATTTACGAGTTTATATTTCTCATAAGTCAACATAATAAATATACATGTACTCGTAAAACTCATTTGTACATTTACATTTTCATTTTCTAGGTTTTCAAATCAACACCGATCTTGTCGTGGAAATCGTTTTCATTGTCCTTTGCCTCGTCATTGCCGGAAGTTTTATGACATTTCTTCTTAAAAAGAAAGGGTATTCTGAAATATTATGTGATCTACAAATTTTACCGATTTTCTCTAATATTTTATTCAATTTTCTTGAGAGTATTTATATCGATTAATCTGCTACAGTTAATATCCGATCGCGTGTTTGAAAACTGATTATCGTAATTTAAAAAAAATGCAGTTTCGTTTAGTTTTTATGTACAGTGTTGCTTTTGATGTTTGTTTTAAAAACTCGTACGTTCAAACGTATTGATATGCGTGTGTGTCAAATGTACTCGTATGTAAATAATTTTCTTAATTAGTTTTGAAAATATTGTTTTGTAACTTTATCAATCATATATCCTTTAATGAGATAAAATGTTTGCAAAAAAAAAAACGTTTGCATTTTATTTTCTTTTATGATCGACCAGATATATATCCTGCCAACGATGTAGAAGTTGTCTTCATGAACGGCGCAGGCGTAGATCTTCAACATCGAGTCGAGGGCCTCTTACACAAGATGATGCAACCTTCGTCAATATCTCGGATCCCCCGAGACAAGAGCGGGAACTTTTCTCAATCGGAGACCAAGATGGCGGACAAGATGGCCGACAAAGATCTTTGCAGCGACGTGGCACGGAGGATGATTACTTTTATGATGAAATTTTTGGACAGTCAGCGTTTGTTGATGAAACAACGAATAGAGCTAACACTTATTTATCAGTTGCTGATGATGACGATGATGATATACTGAGCGGTTTGAACGTCCCAGATCTTGTTTTTAAAACACCAAAGAAAATGTGAAAATTGAAAATGAATTCTGAAATTGATGTTATGTGTTGAAGTAACAAGATACAGTTTGCTAAGATAAAATTATAAGAAATCATGAAATTTACATGTTAGTATTAATGTTTATACCCTCCTCTAACACGGATACCATCAAACATAAAGATAATAATTTAGAACATTGTGAAGCACATTGGGCACATATTGACCCATTTGTTCAAAGAATTTAGTAGGAAATGGGAGAATGCATACAGTGCCTGTTTGTTTGTTTGTGTGTTTGTTTGTTTTGTGGCGACTTTCTGCAAATGTGGCATAGAATTACCGCATTGGCTATAAGTACTAACATTTGCAAATGTGATTTGCATATCATTTCATTTCCTTACATTTTTATATAATCTTTATATATTTTAAATTTCAATATACATTATTTTGCATATTAATTTTTTACAAAATTTTACATTGCTGTTCATTACTGTAAATTTTATTTCATTACATTAGATAAGATTACATTGCATCAAATCACATCACATTATATCAAATAACATTCCATTACATGATTTTGCTTTTCAAGCCTATAAAAAAAGCTTTAGGAGACTGATGTGTGAGGTAACTTTGAATTTGAAACAATATATGTATATGATTTGTAAATTGATAATAACATAAATATGTACATAAATTATTTATTCTAAATATATGTATATCTCGACACATGCCTTATCAAAAATATTCATTTATTAATGTGTCTTTTTAGATATGCATTATGCCTTTTACATTTTCAAAATTATATTAAATACAGGCGTGTATTATAACGTGCAATGACACTACAGTTCAACATTAAAAATTGAAAGAGAGTTTAAATAATTAAAATAATTGGTTCATATAACAAAAGATTTTACAGTAAATTGTTTCTTTATTATGCCCCCCCCCCCCCCATTCGAAGAAAAGGTGTATATTGTTTTGCTAATGACGGTCGGTCTGTCCGTCGGTAGACCACGTGCTTTCCGCTGATTATCTTAAAAACTGTTTATCACAAAGTTTCATATTTCACATACTGATGGGTCATAACTAGTAAATTACACTATGATTTGGGGTCACTAGGTCAAAAGTCAAGGCCACAGGGGCCTTAAATGTCAGAATTATTTCGCCTACTATCTTTAATACATTAATCACAAAGTCTTCATATTTCACGTAATGATTAGTCATATCAAGAAGATGACCCCTATTAATTTTGGGGTCACTAGATCAAACGTCAAGGTCACAAGGGCCTTAAATGTCAGAATGGTTTCCACTCATTATCTTAAAAACTTTTTATCACGAAGCCTTCATATCTCACATACCGACTGGTCATTTGTAGTAGATGACCCCTATTGATTTGTTGGTTACTAGTTGAAACGTCAAGGTCACAGGGTCCTTAAATATCAGAATGGTTTCCACTCATTATCTTTAAAACAAATTATCACAAAGTCTTCATACTTCGCATACTGATTGTTTATAATTCGAAAATGACCCCTATTGATTTTGGGGTGACTATATCAAAAGTCACAGAGGTCTTAAATGTCAAGATGGTTTTCGCTCATTATCTTAGAGTCCATTTATCATAAAGTCTTCATCTTTCACATGCTGATTGGTCATAAAAAGTAGATGACACCTGTTGATTTTGGGGTCAATAGCTCAAAGGTCAAGGTCACGGGGGCCTTAAATGTCAGAATGGTTTCCGCTCAATATCTTGAAAATAATTTATCACAAACTCTTCATATTTTACATATATATTAGTCATATGTACTAGATGACCCCAATTGATTTTGGTTCCCCCAGTTAAAAGGGTAAAGGGGGGGTTTAAAAAATTGTCGGATTGGTTTTTTGCTCATTTTTTTGAAAATTTTTTATATCAAAAAATATTTAAACAAATGTTTGGGTTTTAAACCAGTAGATGACCCTTTTTGATTTTGGGGTCTTGGGTCCCTTTAGATCAGTCAGTGGTTTTTTCCGTGGGTTTAGACCATGTGGTTCCCACTGATTATCTTAAAAACTATTTGTCGCAAAGTCTTCATATTTCACATACTGATTGGTAATAACTAGTAATGACCCCTTTTTGATTTATGGGTCACTAGGTCTAAGGTTAATGTCATACGGGCGTTAAATGTCAGAATGGTTTTCCGCTCATTATCTTGAAAACTATCACAATTTCTTCACATTTCACATATCGATTAGTTATATGTTGGTAGACGATGTGGTTTCCGCTGATCATCTTAAAAACTATTTATCACAAAGTTTTCATATTTCACATTCTTATTGGTCATAACTTGTGGATGATCCTATTGATTTTGGGGTTACAGTTCAAAGGTAAAGGTAACAAGGCGTTTAAATGTCAGCATGGTTCCTGCTTAAATATACTTCTGATAAATTTCAATCAGTTTTAGTTCATATTTTGGTCATCATTTTTATACTAGTAAAATTTAAAATCCCTCTGGAATACGAGGGTTCATTTAGATCAATTTAGACTTTTCCTGTTTCTTTATACATTGTTAAATTGTTAAAATCTTGGTGTAGCTAATACACGTTTGCTTACGATGCCTTTTATTGTCTTTATGTTTACTAGTACGAAAAATAAATGAGTTGCATTGCATCATAACACGTAGCGGTATCTACATTGCCATTTGCATTACCAGTTTGCCTTGTCAAAATTTTATTATCACTTCTGGTCAAAATAAAAAACCTGGATCCACACCTGATTGGCACCAATTTTATCCCAAAATCAAAGTTTCCCCTATATAAGTCTATTTACTATTGCAAGGCCAATTTTGACACAAACGACATCATAAGAAAAAGTTAAGGAAACGACCTCTGAATGTTACATACATGTAGGTAAGTTCACGGAAACAATATTTCTACCATCAGTTTCCATTCTAAAATTTGTGTTACCAGGCGGAACCAATTTTGACGCCAGGGTCATAATTTGGTAATCTTCATAGAGATCCGCCACCGAGTATCTTAGTCCAGGGTGATACAGGGAAGAAGATTTACTAGAAATACATAAGAGCGAGGTTTTACGCACGTGTAAAATGGCCAACTATGCATTGCACACCAATTAAATGCTACCAAGACGAATGTCTGTTTAGATCTGCGTAGTTGTTGAAATTAAAGGCACAAAAATTGCATTACGTCCTTACTATAAGTGTTTGTTTTTATACTGTGACAGGACGGGTAAGCTTCAGTCAATGTCGTAATGTATCCGACACCATATGACTTATTTATATATAGACAGTGATGCTCGTGATGGTTTATTATAATGCCTTGGACATTAATTAATTATATTCGATAAACGATTATAATTTTTGTAATAAGCAAATGACTAAAGATACAACACCAAATTTGAGCATAAATGTAGTAGTATATAAGACATTAAAGGCATCAGGAACGTTACCAAATCTAACCAAACTAAAACAGCACACGTGTGACCTCGTTTTACTATATTAAAGGCGGCTATTTAAGGTTTCGAAATCAGAACCATGTCCGCACAGAATCGTCTCAAAGAAAAATACAAAACATTTAAAGATAAATTTCTACAGAACGAACTTGTTCCCTTGTTTCTTAAAGTCAACAAAATGAATATTATATTGAAAAGTTCAGATGTTTCATGACAGTGCAATGTAACAACTCTTACACCGATGCCTTTTGTTCAAATGCGAAACAGTTTCCCAATAGGTGGAGACATGATTAAATTTAGCCTGGTTCCACGATATCAAATCTAAGTAATACACAGACAGTTGCCCAAATCATTATTTGTATACGGAGATAAGAAAACATTGTCTTTCCATAATAAAAAAAGGTTTGCGACAAAGCCATAAATTTAAAGTTGGTTATGAAGTGTAAAGCTGATGAATGTGAATGATTTTATGTACTTCTGTTTTTATTGACGACTCGCAAAGTAATTCGTGTCATTGCAGTAAACCATGCCTTTTATTCAAAATCATATAAGACTAGGCTGCTTCGCAGCCGAATAAGGCAAGTACAAAACTCTCAATTGGTAATTCTAAGTTTGTAATAATTGAAATGATTTATGCATTAATTGATTAATGCAAGCAAGGAGACAATTTGAAGATATCTTTTATTCGTATGTTTTTTATTTGTTGTTTTAGTTTTTGTTCGGTTTTTTTTTCTTTTATGTTCTTATACGATACTAGTAACCATTATCTATATAAAAATGTTCTTAATATTAAATCTGCTAAAATAATGCATTTTTAAAGGAATTATATTGTGTACTTTTCAGATTGATTTCGAAGGTTCTAAGGATTTAAAAAATTAAACCTCCTTTTTTTCTCTATTGATACATGACCATAACATAAAAAAGATTTTACAAAACGTAAGTTAAACAGTAAGTGGTTTCTAGAGACAAACGTACATTCAAAGTACATGCCTTATTAAGACAACTCTTAAATGTGATTTAAAACAAAGAATAAAACAGTCGAGGTAAGTAAGTGAAAGATATATATCTATTTTCATTTACAAAGATTAACAATTAATAATATTTTATAATATATAACAAAGCAAAGTCCATGTCATTTTCAAGCTATTTATTATCAAAAACATACGTTTCTATTAAAAGTCCTTCAAACAGGACCACCAATGGAGAAATTTTCGAAAATGTATATATTTATATAATATATACATTGTTGTCACGAGTTTTTATCTTAAATATCATATTTCAAGTAAGATCTGATAAAATATGTTAGTGCTATATTGATATATCATACAAGTGAATGTTATAACATTAAATGATTATCTAATGTATATAAATATATGATGTCATTTTTATTGGCTTATAATTAACTAACATCTTGTGCAATATGACGACAATAAAACATTTCAAAGACAATTAAATACAAGTAATTACGAAATTATATTAATTGAATGCTATACGTTAATTACATATCATATCAGAAAGCCCGAAAATGTCGAAAAACAAACATGATTTTGTGATGCCCAATTGTAAAGTGACGTCATCTATTGATTATAAAGTGACGTCACCTATTGACTATACAAAGTGACGCCACCTATTTATTTAACTTCTGTAGTGACTTGACGCATTGACTTAACATAGGGTCAATGACGTCATGTATTTTACATTACTTGTGTAATATATGGACATTAGTTAGCTATTAAAAATATTATATAAAATATAATATTGTTATATAGTTAATATTATTAAAGTATGTACATGTCGAGTATTAATGATATGTATATTATTTACAACTATGACGTTTATTTACATGTGTACATATGAAAAAAAAAATATTATGAGCCATTGAACATGATACATACTCGTCTTAGCTATGGTAAATTTTGTTCGGTTACACGTCTTGTTTATGGCATATTGCATATTTCGTAAAAAACTATTAACCTTTAGTATACATAAATGTATGCTAAATGAGATTAAGCAACGAAAAAAGGCAATGTTTAAACATATAAACATATTTTTCCTTATTAAGAATGTTTAAAACATTTGTATGTGTTCAATTTTTCCTGCTTTTACGTAGAATTATTTACAGTAAATGGGTCAAATGGTTTTAATGCAAAAGTCTTTTTTTCTCTGCTTGCTTCTTTTTTCACACATTGTTGGAAATACACATGCACAAAAAGACTCTCATAGGCTACTGAGCAAAAATATTAAGAGTCCAGGAGCAAATGTTTTAGACACATTAAGACCACACACACATTTATAAGGGTATGTCTTTGTGCGATTTTCCTTTGTCCTCAGTTTAAATATAATACCCTTTTTTCTTGAGATTAAAATCAACACAACATATTACTTAATTCACAATCAAACATTATATGTTGTTCAGTAAATACAAAACGAGACATTTCTGCTCGCACGGATTTCACTAGCACGATTAACTGCTTCGAAGCTTCCTTTATGGCATCAATTTCCATCATTTCAATTATAATCAGCACGTTTGTCCCTTTATCATATCAACACAATTTTGATATAGCGTTGTCTCGATATAAACCTGATCATTATGGCGCTGATGACGTTGCACTAGTTGAAAAATCCGTCTCGTATTCGGGAACCTGCGTTTCTCTTTCCGTTGAAGTCTGACTTTCACTTGTTACATGACTTGATAGTGTTGTAACTGAATGACCCTCTCGAGTTGAGACTACATCTGTTGTTGCTGAAGCAGTTACAGTATCAGTTGTATTTGTCCTCACACCGCTTGTGGTAGCTTTTACAACATTTGTAACATTTGGAGCACTAAAATCAGTAACGTTTGCTACAGGTACATCGACAGCTATATCTGGAGCATTGGTAGTTGCACTAGGACTTTCAGTTGTGATGTAGTAATATTCAGTGTCGTTGTACACATCGTAATAATCCGACGTATTGTAGCCAGAAACTGTGGTTGATTCGACTATAACTTGGGACTGTGTTGTCATCGTGGAAGCCTTAGTTGTATTTAGAACAGCCGATTTTCCCGAGTGGACAACTGAGGTGACGTTATCGTTTGAAAGCAAAGTTTGATTTTGAGGCTGGACAACTTTCATTGTTACATTACCTTCATGTGCAACTGTAGTTGTGACATATTCTGTTACTGTATCTGTCTGTAAAGATTTTGTCACTAGTGGTTGCTTCTGGGTCTCTTCTGTTATATTTGCTGTCTCGGTTTCAGTTGTATCGTTTAATGTTGAAACAGTTTGTGTAACATTTTGTTTTATTGGAATAGATGATACTGATGTAGGTAGGACTGTAACATTGTCAATGGCGACAGAAGCAGTTTCCATCACAGACTCTGTAATGACGGACGAGCTCGTAGTTACATCTGTTTCGCTTGTTTTGTTTACATTTGTCGATTTCGTATCATTTAAGAGTTCGGTAACATTGTTCACAACATCACTTGTTGTAAAAGTTGCAGTTTCTGTCACATTTCCGGTCTCTAAAGATGAAAGTGTTGTTGCTATAGGAATTGTGATCGTTGTTTTACCTTGTTTCGTATTATTTGATGTCGAAATAACTGATGTTTCTTCAGTTATATTTATAGCAGTCGGAACATACGATGTATTGAATGCAGCTTCTTCATATTCATCAAGGAATGCTTCCTCAGCTGGTTTTGCTGTTGTTGTTGTCGTTGTTGTTGTTGTCGCCGTCGTTGTTGTTGTATTAAATATATCGGTTGCATTTCTTGTCTCTGTCGTATCTTGCATATTAACTGTTGTCATGTTGTCAGCATAGATCGTATCTGTAACATTGACCGGTGTTTCTGTTGTGAATGTTTCACTAATTATATCAGCAGGTGAAGTCTCTTGCACAGAATCACTGATGGTTGTTGATTCCATATCTGAAACACTGGCTGTAGAGTCATTATATACTTGTTTTGTCGTTAATAAACTTGTATCTGTGGTGTTTATTAACAGAGAGGGAGAATCTGTTTGTGTTTCTGTGGTAGTCTGTGCAGGTTCAATAAGATCTGGAACAGTTTCTGCCGATGTGTGGCTCTGTACAACTTCAGTTGTAGATGGCGATGTTGTTTCATTAAAAGATGGTACAGATGAAAACGATTCAGTTTCATTTATTACAGAAGCTGTTGAAATAGTTGTGCTAATTACATCATCTGTAGCAGATCCATTTCCGGTGGTCACTGTAACAGTAGGTGATACTTCACTGACAGGCTTTGATATTTTCTCTATAGCAAGGCTCTCGGTATGAACAACTTGTGTTGTTACATCTGCTGGTGCTGTATCGTTGCCAATTGATGATGTAACTGCTTCAAATTGTTCTGTTGCGGGAATCTCAGTTGACGTTTTAAAGGGTTAAAAAACGGGTTATTTTTTTTTTTTCAACCCGGGGAAAAACGGGTTCCCGTCTTTTGGTCTTTTTTCTTTTTGAATTTTATATATTTTGGGAAGCTTTTCGGTAAAATTGTTTTGGGGGGGCAAAATTTCAATTTTTCGGGCTTGATTTAGATAAAAGCTACAAAGAAAAGGGTTTAAAATTGGTCCCCCTTTCTTTTGGGAGACTGGGGTTAAAAATTAAAGGAAAAGAAGAACGTTTTTTCACGGGATTGGGCCTGTTGGGATAGAAAATCTCACTTGGAAACCAACAGTTTAAACCAAAAGGGCTCCCTGGGTGTTTGGTTGGGGTATTTTATTTTTTTCCCCTCTGAACTTGGGAAAAAAGTTATTTGTTTTTTTTTTTGTGTAATTTAAAATTTTATGGGTGTTAAACCAACAGTTTCTGCCGAAATTAGGTTTTTTTAAAAAAATCGGAGAAATTTATTTTGCGCGTGTTAGTTTGTTCAGTTTACACTTTGTGTACTTGATTCTTGCACAACAGATACTTTTGTTGCTTGTGTGGATACTAACTCCACAGGTAATTCAGTTGAAGGTTCTACTGATACTTCGCTTGAAGTAGTTGTTTCGTAATCATAATACACATCAGAAGTATTGTAACCGTATGTGTCTGTAGTGCTAAGGGGAACAATTTCACTAACGCCGGTAAAGTCTTTGTTATATGTTCGACCACATCCGAAGACTCAGTTGCGTCAGTCGTCAACTCTGGGCCTTTACTTGACGTTTCATTTACTTCTTCTAGCTTAGCGGTGTCCATAATTGTTGTTGCATTTGTAACCGGTGCAGCTACAGTAGTTAACTGAGCATGTATTGTTTCTGGTGAAGTTTGCATATCTTTCTTGCCGAGTGTAGAGCCAGGTCCCGCAGTTTTGTTATATCTCTCCGTTACTGAATCTTTAACTACCTCAACTTTTGTAGTTTCTATAAGTGTGATGCTAGTTGTGGAAGATGGTTCACTTTCAGTTGCAATTGCCCTTGTTGTTAGTATATCAGATATTGAAGATACATTTAAGATTGGCGCAGGCTCTGTAATTCCCTGTTCGCCTATTGTTTCATTAACAAGAATTTTAAGAGCTTCTGACGATTGTTGCGTGGTGACAAATCCTGTGTCTACTGGTATCACTGTTGAAGTGACATCATCAGCGGAGATCGTTGTAACAGTTGGTTGTTTTGTTTCGTCAACAATTTCTGAACTTGTTGTTATCTCCGTTTCTTGAGAGGTCGTCACGGATGAAGGCAAAGTTGCATTCGAAAATTCAGTTGCGATTTCTGTTTTGATCTGAATAGTACTTTCTTGCATTTTGGCAGCGGTTGAAGTCGACACGTTGTGATCTGCTAATGGAGGCGATTCTGTTGACATGATGTCTACACCTTTTACTGTTATGTTAGCAGGTTCTGTTGTACGACTACTAATGCTGTCTACATGAACAGTTGTCGTTTCAATAACTACTTCGTCTGCTTTTGACCCAGTTATAGTTTCCTTTGGCTTGTCTGTTGTTTTATCGGAAGTTACTTGTATAATTTCGTCTGTCACTGTCTGCGCCGACTGAAGTGTTGTAACTTCAATACTTGTAGTTTTATCAGTCTGTGTTGTAAATGAAATTTCTTTTTCAATTGTTGTCTCAACAGGCAAAATTTCAGAAACAGTCGATGATTCCTTGCTAACGGAATCAGTCGCCGGAGATGTAGTCGATGTTTGGTTTGCATCTTCTTTTGGTGTTGTTGTAACAGCCTTTAGTATTGTCTGGGTATAAGTAACCTCTGACGCAATAGTTGGGAGTTCAGTGACTGCTGTTGTCCCTGATTCTGTTGTTTCATATGTGTCATTAAGGTCATAAAACATGTCAAATATATTTGTTGACGCTTTTGGCATTTCTGTTGTTACTGTTATGTTATCAACAGCCTTTGTTTCATCTTTTACTTCTGCAGTAGGTTTTAAAGTTGTTATGATTTCATCCGATGTAGTTCTGGAAGTGGTTTCTATAGTACCTGGTGTTTGTTTTTGTGTATGTACATCTGTAATTTTCTCACTTGTTCGGATATCTTCTTGGGTAGTTATTTCGAGTACATCTTCATTTTCAGTAATAATGCTCGGTTTAACAATTCTTGTTGTCTGTATGGTTTCTACTGGAGGTTTAGTTTCTTTAACCAGTGTTGTTGTTATCAATTGCATCGTAGTAGTCGTTTCTTTACTCTTTTCTATTGTTGTTTCTGTTGTTGTTGTTTCTGTTGTTGTTTCTGTTGTTCTTTCTGGTGTTTCGGAACGTGTTACGATTGTGACAGGTTCTGATTGTTTTGTTGTTTTCTCAATTTTTGCCTTAGGTGTTGTTTTTACATGAGGCTTAGTAGATTTTATTGTTGGCTTGAATGGTGTTGTAGTTGCTTTGGTTGTTGGAGGAACAGGTGTTGTAGGGGGTTCAATTCTGATAAATTTCTTAACGAACTTTGGATTGAATTTCAGATTCTGCCATGGTCCTATTTCGTTTATCTTTTTAGCAAAATGATCTTCTAGCTTTTTCGTTATTTTCTTATCCATCTTAAAACGCTCAAAAGTGTCCGAAAAAAGTTTCAGTCTGTACCTGACCTGCACACTTCCCTTGCTGAAAAAATTTTAAGGGAAATTTACAAAATTTCTTTAAAGTGTTTTTTTAAAATATTTTTTAAAAAAATGTTTTTCTGATCATATAAACCCCGGGCCTTACATCAAAAAATTTCAAAAAAAAGTTATAAATTTAAAAAATTAACGTATAGAACCTTTCTAGTATACTTTGACAGAAGAATAAATTGTAATGGGCTAGCAATACCCAAGTATGTTTTATCCACCGGATAATTTAGTCAAAATGGGCTGGTCAATATTTTCGTACAATGCAATAAGATACTCGGACATCTTGAGATAAAATGTGTATCACTTTACATGAATATCATTCAATTGAATAAATATTATATTTCATTGCTCGTAAATAAGTGATATCATTTTTTTATTGATGATATAGGATGTATACTTTTCTGTCTCTCTCAAAATACTTACGTAAATTCTAGCACTTCACATCCACCGAAAGCATTTTTGACAGGAGAATCGCTATCAGTAAACATTTGTTCAATCTGAAATGATTAAATAAAATACTGTCATTTTATTCTATATCAAATAAAAATCCTTTTCTATTTAAGTTTTTATCTAAGATATACTATGCTCATATTTTAGTCAAATATTTTTATTGCAGAAATTTATTGAAATCTATAAGAAAAAATATTGGGCTTCTAAATAAAGACAAGCACTGGTACAGGTTCTGTGCCTTTACTATTGATATCAAAGTCGTGATTAAATTCCCAGAGTGTTGTAACAATCCAGCTCATTTCCGGACAAGGTTGTATTACCATACCGGTATTTCAAAATGAAGCTTATGCCCATGCAGTTTCATAATAGAAATATATATTTACCGCTTTACAGAACTCCTTTTCGAGATATTTGAATTCATCAGTAGTGTTGTCTCGCAAATTCTCGTTAAACTCTCGATTGAATATACTAGCTTGAGATTCAAATTCGTCTGCAACAAAAACAAAATGGAACAATTACAATCCCGACAGTATTATACTCTCCTACTTAACACTGGATCCTAAACTTTATTGGTTATCTGTTTATTCAATGGTTGCGTTGGCTCCGTTACATTTGCGAGAGCTATTTAACTTTGCCGATGACGCCAGCACCGTGTCGATAGCTCTTTCACATTTGAAAACTGTTAGTATTTTATATTTTACCAAGCTCTTTAAAATAGGTTTTTGGGGAGCACTGTAACACCGCACTTTGGGGTCAAACGCACTTTTGGGTCGGACCCCAAAGTGCGTTACGTACTTTGGGGTCGGACCCCATAGTGCGTTACGCACTTTGGGGTCCAATTTCGACCCCAAAGTGCGTTAAACAGGTACATATGCATTTTTTAACATCAGGCAAACGACCGCACTTTGGGGTCATAGAAAATTAAAGTTCATTATGTTTTAAATAATATATTGCAGTCAAAGCCAATGGTAAACAAAAAATCAAGGCATTAAATAGACACAAACATGTTCCCTGAATTATAGTAGAATCAATAGGGATTTAAATGATCTTGATTAGTCAGTGAAGAACTTTCACTAAATAAACCACCAAATAAAGAATTTGTATCAATTATTAAGCTTAAAATATTTTTTCTCAAACTTTACTTTTATTTTAAAAGAATGTACACCTTTCATTAACTCCATTGTTTTTAGCTAAATGCATTATTTTCCCGTTTTTTAATTATACATTTTTAAGAAATATGATAGTCTTAGCATAGACAAAGGTATAAATTCTGGGAAATCTTAGTAAGACATTTTAGTAAAAAATGTGCCTGATAATATGTTGAAAGGACCATTTATTTAGCTAAATGTGACATATAAGAAACTTGACTAGGTGTAGATGCGGCTTTAAGTAGTAGTCCGTACAGGCAGTACTAAAAATATGAACTATTTAAGTAGTCGCACATTAAGAGCGGAGCTTCAGAATAATGTAAAATTCTCTTTGGGGGTATAGAGGGGATTGTGGGGTCTTGATCCCCCCGAGGGTTAAAAATAACGTTTTAAAGGCAAATTATGCTTTTATTTGTTTCTCTTAAAAGCTTTTTTTATTTTGATGTTCTTCTATATTATCCAAAAAATACACATTGGCCATTTACCTGAACCATCTTTTTCATCTGTTGCTTTTTGGCAATGATGAGTACAGTTATAGTGAATTAGTATTTTATATGGAAGTCAAATACTACAGTGTTCGTTTCTTTTATGACGAATAATATCACAGTTATCGCTACTTTATTCAGGTAACAAGCATCTTACACATCTCAGATACCATTATTTTAACATTATAAAATTCATGTTTGCTCTTTCTTAAGAAGTATGTAAGATTTCCCATAAAAAGCCTCTGGCGAACGGTTGTTACGCAGCTTACAAAAACCCTTAAGTTTGTTGATAAGCTTAATAATGTTTTTGTAAAAATCACTATTTATAGTCCGATCGAAAAAAATTTCACCAGAACATTGCAATAGAGTATATTTATAGTTCTTTGGAAAAATACATTATCTGCATTTTTTCACATTTCCAACATATCTAAAATGGGGCTCAATATGGCACCAAAAGTTATCAAGTAAATGACCGACAGAACGGGATACTTTTCGCAGCATCTTTTAATTCTAGGAATACACAATTTCTGTACTAGAGTATTTTGAACGGTGGCATAAAAGTGACATTTGTATTTTTTTATACTTTTTTTTGCTTTTCGTACATATTTTTGTTTGTTTGTCGTAGATATTTTTTTACATGTAGTTTATTACATACTTTTTTTAGTTTTGCATACACATTCTTTTTTAGTTTGCATACATATTTTATTTTAATTTTGCATACATATTCTTTTTTAGTTTGCATACATATTTTATTTCAGTTTTTTTGTACATATTTTATTTTTGTTTTTTTGTACATATTTTTACATGACGCCATTTGCAAAGTAGAGGTTTGGATAATTACATCTGTAAATTACAGTACCCCATTTGCAAATGCCATTTGCAAATACCAACATTTTCATTTTTTAGTATCCGCGGTAACCCAAAGAAAGGTTCTGCATATGGTCTCGTTGTGGTTAACATTTGTCACAAGGTGCCTTAAAATCCTTCATGGGGTTTCGGAGATAAGGAGCGGACATGAAACCCAAGTCTTTATCCTTTGACCTGTAGCTGTGACCCCGACCTTGAGCCGGGACACCTGGCATAAAGTTCTGTACATTATCTGGATGTGCTAAGGAATTGACCTAAGTTTCATAATTCTCAATTCTCAGGGGGTGGGGTTGAGTGGTGCATATTCATGGAATAATAACTGATCACCAATCAACAGCTCTTTCCAAATAGACACTAACATAACAGTATATAATAATAAAAACAATAATTAAATAAAATACATATAATATAAAAAATTGGCCGAAAAGGGTCTGCCGAAACCAGACTTGCCCGGCCGAAAACGACTGGGCCGATTCCAAAAATGGGCCGAAATGTGACCTAACCACTCTGCTTGTTTTATACTCAACTATGGGCTCAGATTTGAAGGCTGTTTTGATTGGCTAAAATATGTATGAAAAACAAAAATAACATATGTACGAAAAACAAAAATAAAATATGAATGCAAAACTGAAAAAAATATGTATGCAAAACTAAAATAAAATATGTATACAAAACTAAAAACAAAAAACATGCAACTGTCACTTTTATGCCACCGTAATTTTTTTATATGAACACAATTTTTAGATATTTCAAGTGGTAACATTAATGAAACTGTTACCGCCATCTTGAACTCCAACTCAAAATATTCCAATGTCGCAGATAGAAAATAAGTCAGTACTCAGTATGTTAGCAGAACTCAGATGACACCTTTAGACCTCTTGAACCCAAAGTGCGTTGATATGTAGCATATTAACGCACTTTGGGGTCAATTTCTCGATTATGATCCCAAAGTGCGTTTGACCCCAAAGTGCGGTGCGAAGTTTAGCGCACTTTGGGGTCGGACCCCAAAGTGCGTTTGACCCCAAAGTGCGGTGTTACAGAGCACAATGTTGCTTAAACAATTAAGCGGGTCAACATTTACTTTATATTAAAAAAATCACTCGTGATGTGTCTATATGTGAAAGTGAACACACAAGCTAAGTTCTAGCAACGTCATTTTGAAGTACCGGTATTTCGTATCGAAATTGCATTCATAATGATAAGAAAAATGTTTTGCGTGTTATAGCATTCTTCAATTTGAAAATAAAAAACAGGCATATTTGTTAAAAATGGATATTTTCCCTTTTCAGCTTTCATTTTGTCGATGCAACAGAATTGTCAATGGTTCTCTTTTTTTAACAGATAACCAAAATGCGAAAGAGCCGCCATTTAGAAGGAGAGTAATAAAACCACCGGAATACGTGTTTGTTCGTTTTTCATATCAGGCTTATCTCACACTTTTTAAAAGTGTCAATGTACTAAAGAAAAACTAAACGAATCTCTAAATTGTGAAACTTATTGATATTTTCTTTTTTAATATAAAATGTTGGTGTTTTTCCAGGGATTATAATATCGTATATATTATTAAAAAGTGAAATAATAAGATTAGACAGTACGATTATTTTATTATTTCAATTTTGTCACTATGAATGTATTATAAAGGTTGGTGATTAATAAACAATATAATATATACATATATTACCTGTATGGCCTGGCTTTGCAGGTAAGGGTGCGGGAGTCTTAGACACTGTAAAACAAATCATAAAAATTGGGTCGTGTCATGACAAAACCAAAATTATTGGTCAAACCAACATAATGGGTTTGCGACCAGAATGGATGCAGACCAGCCTGCGCATCCGCACGGTCTGATCAGGATCCATGCTGTTCGCTTACCAACCCTATTTCAAGTAGCGAACAACACTATGTTGGTTTTGTCGTGACACGGCTCAAATATTCGTTATTATAAACATTGATGTTATGGTAATTTTTGTGTATATATTAAACCTGCACATGACAGTATGTTTTTGTTTTGTTTTAAAACTTTAATATTTTTGTAGTTACACACAGTGAACTATTAACTATATTGTTATTATAATAATAAATGATCAATCATTGTAATTGTACTTAAACTAATTGTTCAACAAAGAAATCAAATATTTAGTTAATGTAAATTAAAACACGTCACACGTCAATTATTCCGTCACACTGCTTCGGTACACTGATGTATCTTTTGTTTTATTAAACGCACCTTAGAATCGTTAATAACTTAGTATCGAATTTATTTGGTTCGTTTCGTTCAACAAACACATAAAGGTGTATCATCTTTTTATTATAAGTAAGTTTTGTGAAAACTTTCTTTGTACAGCTTCGGTATATATCTTCCTTTATTGATTATCATTTACAGCATCCTGCCATAGATTGTTTTGAACTTAAAAAATTGATAAATCTTCATTTGAGCATAATATTTATGATATAAAACCATACAAAAATGAGTAACAGAATGTTAAAGAGGTCAAAATAAGCAAAATTAGCCTTTACTGCGTTTGCAACGCAGAAGAAATATGGTGATAAATACAGCAAAATCATTAGTCATCAATCGCACATAACTTGTAAATTATAACTTGAATCTTAAATCATTTCTACTTTTCATAAAATCTCAGTTTATTCAAATTTAATTATCTTGAAAAATATTGGCTCCTCTGGAGGAATTCAGCTTTAAGAAAAGTTAAGTTTATTAATGTGCTTTGTACCCTCTAGTCTCACCTCATGAATTACTTCTTACAGTGCGAATAAATAATTCTTCAATACAATATGTATAAGTCGAACACATGTATATGATACATAATTACCATGTCAAATATACGGTTATAAGAAAAAATACATGTTTTATTGAAATACTTACATAAAACAGCCAATGTTATAGCGGCAACAACCACGCCAACGAAACTAACCACGAGGGAAACGCATAGCAATACCCGGCAGTTGGAGCCACGCCGGAAGCTATCACCGGATGTATAATCGGAACTTCTTGATTCTTCATCTTTATATACAGGACGAGACATATATCCGGGTTCTTCTATGCTGAATTCGGACCTTGTGCTTGGTTGTACATAGTATCTGTAGGCTCCATATGGTTCTGATGGGTCAAATACATTATCCTGGCCCATCATAGGGTCAGGGTGTTTGCCATCTTCGTCAAGATTATTAGTGCTTGCATACAGTGACGCCAGGTGTGGCCACTGAAATACATAATAATAATGAAACATTGATTCAGGTCGGCGGATGATATTTTACCATAGTACTTATGGTAAACTACATAGCTAATACAGTTTATGACGAAAACCATGTTTGCATTTCTGACAAATATTTGGTATATTCTTTTTATAAAAAATTGAATACAGCACGTTCATACCCATTGAAAATGAAGTGTTTAAATGTACATGATTGCGCTTATATTTTTAGGCTATATTGGACGCCATCTTTAATGTCACTGACAGCACCATTATTTAAAGTTGTAACTCTCGATAAACACTTACTAATAAGTAAGATATTAATCCCCAAGTTATTTTTCTAAATAACTACTAAATGATATTTCATTTCAAAGAACTACCTTCAGACTAAAACGTGCTACAAATAATCAGTAACCGGTTCAAGATCGCATTTCACCGGCATAATCAAGTTAAGATATGTATATGGATTGTTTTGCGGTTGTTGTTTTTTTAAAATGACAGTTTTGAGAAAGACCACCGTTTACAAGCTGACTTTAATGATAAATCACAAAGTTATGATGTTTGCTGAACGATCTTTGTTCGTGGGAGCACTGAGGCGAAGCTTGAATTATTTCATGACTTTAATTTGAATGTTTCTATAATGAATCAAACCAGTAATTAATGATGTAACGTCTAATAAAGTCATATGTAGATCTATGTTTTTAACTACATTTATATTTATTTTGTTTATGAAATGCCACACTAATTACAATAGATCGAGCCCAAAAAATGTGTTTGTTTGCCGCAAATAAGTCCAACGAAAATGGGATGAATGTTCTTTCTAAAGTATTTCTTATATGGTATTCACTCATATATCAAGACACTTCTGATACTGTTTAAATTAAGATCTTACTGATCAAGAAATACATAAGGATGTCTTATTCCGTTTAGAACTAATACAAGGATTTTAGAATTTTCTACAAGTTTTATTCTGCTTAACAAATAAACAGACACCTATCATCTTATACTTATATTAGTCTAAAATCAGAAGAATTGAAATTCTATGGTGCACTTAAGATGGAAAAAATTATTGCAACAGATAATGTATAAATAATTATATCCGGAATTAAATTGATAAATAAATCAATTTTTATGCGTTTTTTAAGGGGGTTGGGGAGGGGGCCCATTTCAATCTTGGTCAATTTCCGCGATGAAATTGATTATCCCTGGGGGGAAGGAGTGACCAGATGATCTGAGTTATAGGTGCAGACCAACATACAGTTGTACAAAATGTTCGGTCCCTTCCTGTCATAAAGCCTCAGTGGAGTTAATGTATATTAGTGTAAGAGTCAACTTAACTAGTAGTAAATAAAGGAATCTAATGTTTTAATCATGTATAAGCTCAGGGTGATTGAAGAAACGTTGAAAAACTTGAAGAGTATTTTGCACTTTTATTATACATGCACCATAATATAACTTATTGAATCTTAAAATCTACATTCAATTTGGATATCACTTGCAGGCAGGTGTAAAATTCTGTCATGGAACCCTACTAACGAGTCAGTGATAATGGGTGGTAAATGTCATCGTACCTCAACAATGGTGATTAAATACCATGATTATTTCACCATGGTACACAATAAATTCACAATTCATAGTGCATAAATACATGTTAATGATACAGACGGCCATTGAAGCAGACGACAGTTAGACAACTGCCTCATAACTGACAATAATGTACATATATAGAAAACGCTTTGAAGTTTATTATATCAGCCGACGTCATCCGTTATTGGAATATTACACAATGTGCATTTATGATATTCACCAGTCCTTTTTATATTCTTAAAATCATACGCAAGTTATAAATAGATTTTATAGATACATTCATAAAAATATGTCGCTGCAATATAAAAATATTACAATATATAAAACACTAGTTGTGCATAAAGTGTACACATCATATAATTACACAAAAATGTACATGTATAAACCGTGTAACAAATGATCACAATGTCAAATATTTAACATTCAGTATGATACACATTGACATGTTTATGCACCTAAATGAATGACAAAATATTTCAAAGGTCAATGAGCAACTAAACGCACAGTAACCTGAGACAATAATGAAGAAAATTAGCCCTGATAAGGACTGTTGTTGCTAAGCAAAGTGCCTGCTGTGCGGCTATGAAGTGTATCGAAATTTTAAGGGAGGCCACTCCTGAGGTATTAAACACATTGTTTCGTATCGATAGTCTGTTACTTGACTTTAACTATACAGAAAGACAAACTATGTTTAAAATTAACTTTACTGCCATATGTTACAAAGTTAAACTCATTGAATGTTGTCAGATCGGTTTTCGCGGGAATTGTTAATTGATCATTTGTACATAATTTACGCCTGTTTTAAGTTTTAAAGTGATAAATAATTTTTGAATTGGCAGTAAAAAGAGATTTTCCCCTAAATATTTTTCTTTTCAAGATACCAATAAATAACTGTTGTATTGCAAAATGTTTTTAGAAAAAAAATAAATCGAAAACTACTTCATCATTTAGTTAAATTAAAAAACTGAAAAATAATGTTCTATATATATTTGTATACATGTACATTAGTTACAAAATTGTTTAGCCTTAGATTAAATAGACAATGTTTAATACATGTGATGTTATAAAATATTTATATTTTATGGGGCTTGTATATTTTTACTTAATGTGTCGAAACATAAAAGCTATAAATCGTGAGGGGAAATGTGCGAAAACCGTGCAGTTGTAGATGTAGAATTTATGCGTGGAAATCGTGCTATCTTGATAGCTATTTTTTAAACACTAACATGTGTGTTGGTAAATTAAATAATAACAAAAATAATGCATGATATTACACACGAATACCTCTTGAAGATTATATCCATATTCCCAGAATCGAAACATTTTCTTTTAAAGATTTTCTATGAAATTAAACACATTACAAGCTTATGGTTACAGGACAGAAATGAATTTTAGTTTTAAAGAGGTATATAATTTATTCTTCTGTCATACATTGTCATGTGTAAATGTGTGTATTTTAACACAGGTAATTAAAATTAATTCATACATTACTTAGCATTTAATTAACATAATTTATTATACTTGTTACATCTTACGCATTCCTATATATTTAAGTTGAGCAGTATTCGTATTTTAAGTATGTATGAATTTTGATAATACCTTAATGTAACATTATGTTCATTTTTCCATTATTAAATTGAGCTTAATTAACTATATATTTCAAAAGATTGGCTGTTATAATGGTGATTGTGTAGGAAAATGTTAAGGATAAAATATAAGTCTTTCTAAAGTAATAAAAAAGACTGCCCCACTCTTTTTATAAACTGAACGTTACAGGCAAATTCCGATGGATATTTACAGAATTTTACTTTGGACCGCGTCAGTCGTTATCGTTCATGCGAAGTAAATTATAGAATTGAAAAGAATTATTGCAAATAGTAAACTTATTTTTGATGAGCATTATGTCACTTTAACTATCTGAAAGTAAATCGGAGCTATATATAGCGTTTATATTAAACAAAAATAATGAAAACAATAGGTAAAAATGAAGGCTTTTCTGTCAGGCAAAAAAAAGCAAATCTGTTATCGGAGCAAAAAAGAAACATGTTCGTGTGGTGTTCGTTGAAACGAGATTTGACTGTACTCTTATATGTTAGCAAGTTATCACTAAAATTGAAGTTTTCGGAATCAGAAATGAAATGACAAATTAGCATAAATAAATCTTAATTTTGGACACTTTATGAGTGACGACCAATACATCACATTTGAAAGTTATAACACTAAATACAGTGTGTATCATGAATCATGACAATCTAAAGTATGACATTATTTTCTTTTGATTATCTTATAGACAATAAAAAGCTAAATACAACGCACTACCCATTTATTACTGTAGCTGCATACAAACATGGGTTTCTTTATTATCATTTATGATATCTACATATTTAAAGCATTTAACATAATCTTTCATTGGCATAAAATAGAATAAGCATTATATACATACAGTTGATTCACGTTTCATAACAGATAGAAAAAGATAAACGAGTTAAAAAAAAAACAGTACACATGTATAACATTTGAACAACTAACAGAACTGATGAATAATACAGACACACTTTGTAAGATACATAATTATTCCAAATAATTTTAAATATATCTTGTAAAAAATGGCTAAAATACACGTTCGTGCTGTACTATTAAATTTAAACGTTTAACAATGTTAATGATACATAATTGTTTTTCATACAGAATTTAGCCCAGACCGCTTTATATTATAGAAGAAAGAACTTTAAGAAATAAAAGTCTACACGTTTGTCAGCGTAGGTTACCATATATGACCAACACACATATAAAAATGGAAATTAGAAGTTTCTCCGATATCTAACTTAACAGATCTCGAAATAAAACTGTAATATGAAATGGTCAATGTCCGCCGTAATGAGCGTATAATTAAGCTACAATTTGCAAATTAAAGATCAACCTGACTTTGTCCATTTATCACCTATATAATTATGAGAAATAACGCTAATAAAAAATAGCGGTCTTCAGTCCAGAGTTAAAAGTTTAACAAGAAATCTACAGGTTGCGACGTCCATGATAACCGCCGTATGTACACATCTGCGGATGTTTCCAAATTCAAAATTTCACCATTTTCGTGTATTCTGCTTAAGAATAGGGGGCGTAGACGGTAACTTGCACTTATTAGTGCCGTCCATAAACAGGCTCAATCAAACCGAGCCTGCCACGTTTTTAATTTTGTTGTATTGGACTTTCTTTAGGGATTCTGTTTTTCTCTATTTTAGAAATCTGGAACCCAAAGTGCGTTGATATGTAGCATATTAACAGATGTGTGAAGTTAGATGTGTGAAGTTGGCGGCCTGGCGGCCTGGCGGCCTGGCGGCGTGAAGTTGGCGGCCTGGCGGCCTAACGGCCTGGCGGCGTGAAGTTGGCGGCCTAGCGGCCTGGCGGCCTAGCGGCGTGAAGTTGGCGGCCTAGCGGCCTGGCGGCCTAGCAGCCAAAAATTTTAATGTTGTAAAAATGTTTTTTTAACAATAAAACGGCATTTAATGAAGTTTTAAAGATAATTATTGTTATTTAAACGATATATCTAAAGAAAAAAAAATCACTTTCAGAGATTTTTTTAAGTTTGTCATTTTTGTGAAGTTGGCGGCCTAGCGGCCTGGCGGCCTAGCAGCCAAAAATTTTAATGTTGTAAAAATGTTTTTTTAAACAATAAAACGGCATTTAATGAAGTTTTAAAGATAATTATTGTTATTTAAACGATATATCTAAAGAAAAAAATCACTTTCAGAGATTTTTTTTAAGTTTGTCATTTTTGTGAAGTTGGCGGCCTAGCGGCCTGGCGGCCTAGCAGCCAAAAAATTTTAATGTTGTAAAAAATGTTTTTTTAACAATAAAACGGCATTTAATGAAGTTTTAAAGATAATTATTGTTATTTAAACGACATATCTAAAGAAAAAATCACTTTCAGAGATTTTTTTAATTTTGTCATTTTTGTGAAGTTGGCGGCCTAGCGGCCTGGCGGCCTAGCAGCCAAAAATTTTAATGTTGTAAAAATGTTTTTTTAACAATAAAACGGCATTTAATGAAGTTTTAAAGATAATTATTGTTATTTAAACGATATATCTAAAGAAAAAATCACTTTCAGAGATTTTTTTAAGTTTGTCATTTTTGTGAAGTTGGCGGCCTAGCGGCCTGGCGGCCTAGCAGCCAAAAATTTTAATGTTGTAAAAATGTTTTTTTTAACAATAAAAACGGCATTTAATGAAGTTTTAAAGATAATTATTGTTATTTAAACGATATATCTAAAGAAAAAATCACTTTCAGAGATTTTTTTAAGTTTGTCATTTTTTGTGAAGTTGGCGGCCTAGCGGCCTGGCGGCCTAGCAGCCAAAAATTTTAATGTTGTAAAAATGTTTTTTTAACAATAAAACGGCATTTAATGAAGTTTTAAAGATAATTATTGTTATTTAAACGACATATCTAAAGAAAAAATCACTTTCAGAGATTTTTTTAATTTTGTCATTTTTGTGAAGTTGGCGGCCTAGCGGCCAAAAATTTTAATGTTGTAAAAATGTTTTTTTAACAATAAAACGGCATTTAATGAAGTTTTAAAGATAATTATTGTTATTTAAACGATATATTTAAAGTAGAAATCACTTTCAGAGATTTTTTTAAGTTTGTCATTTTTGTGAAGTTGGCGGCCCAGCGGCCCGGCGGCCTGGCGGCCAAAAATGATTTTTTAACAATAAAACACATACGCGTTATTTCATACTTGTTCGTGTTTTTGATAATATCGATCAGCCAAACAGGACATAAGAGTGACAGACTGGATCGCAGGCTAATATATGGTGTACAATTTCTGTAACAAATATGAATTGTCCTTTATGAAGTTTTAAAACATTTTTTCTGGTCCCATCCAATTTATTATCTCCGTTCAATCCATGAGTATAAGTCATCCTTTACTGATTTTACAAAATAACTTTTGCTTACACATTTATTAACAATAACTCATGATTACAGATAGGGCTATGGTCATACCCTAAATGATTACCTCCTTGTTATTGGATGAAACTGAAAAGTTGAATGGTTGGGATTCTGATTGCTAGCACAAGTTATTCGGGTGAAAAATGTATTGAATGTTTCCATGTTGTCATTTTAACGCTATTTTTTGTTTAAGTTCAAAACGTTAACTTGTAATTTTTTAAACATTGATTTGTTTTAACATTTGTATATGTTGTATGTTGCTTGTAAAAAGTATGTAGTTGTTTACATTATTATCATGAATCACATGTTTGTCAATATATCGTTTTTGTTATTGCTGTACTTTAACACTTCATTCTTATGGTGTTGTATATATGGATATTCCCAGAATAAATGTACAGTACCTTTGCTTTGTAAGGTTTTGCTCCATTTTTCCATCTGGCATCGCATAATTGTTATACCTCAAACACCCGCATAAATTATGGTAAAAAAAAATACATTTTGTTACAATGGTGCCAATATTTGGAATATATACATCTTATTTATTAACGGTCATATTATTCTTTAAAATCTTTTGAAAATAAATATAAGAAACATAACGTGTACACGAAATAAATATCTTTATAACCATATCATTATGTTATAATACTAAAATTATGCATGTATATAATAAATAAAGTATTGTTATGGCGAGTGGTTAGCGCGCGCGAAATAGTCAACTATGTATCGCTCGACCGTGTGGGCACAAACCAAGACAGGGGCAAGCCGTTATTTCTTGAGCAAGAAACTAAACACTAAGATGAACAAAGGCTACCAGGGGTCACGAAACAACGGAACTACTATGGCGAGAGGTCGAAAGTACGATGACGATTGATACGATATTATGCAGAGTTCTTCAACATCGTGGTTTCATTTGTTTTTTGTTGTTGTTTTTTTTTTTATCTTTTTTTTCTTCTTTATTTGTTCGACTTTTAACTAAATATAAATAAACCATAAATTCGTTTTAACGCTGTTTCGCGTTATATGTGTGTCGTGATGGCTGTAATGGAACATCGTGGAGATTTTCCCTCAAGAGCAATATTCCAAAGCAAATATATATAGTTGACACTTTGCAGTCTCTATTTTCTTTTGAGTCTATCTATTGAGAGATAATAAATTATATTATACCTCATTTGCATACGGTCTTCTATTATTCAATATGACGTCATCCGGTCCAAAAAACCGCATACAGACACGGGGGCGGTCCATAATTCTTAACAAGTAAAATGGTTTCCTGCGGGGAACATTTTAAATGAATATAAGATATTTCATTTAACTATTTTCAACATTGTTTGGGGACAACATATAGTCGATCAATATAGAAGGTGGAATTCGGTGACGCGCAACGGTGGGTGCGAAGGTCATTGGAAACTGGTGACCGTTGATGACGCGGAGAAGGTCGAACATAAAACAATTA